CTAGATAATACATGTACATAATACAAAACTCCTAAGGCCACAAAGGTCTCCCTCTGAACCTTCATCAAACTCCAAAGCCACCAGATCCCCATGTCAACTCCGGCAGTGACCACCTTTCTATTTGGTGCTAAATTGAGAGATAATCTGTGCATATGTGAGTATGCATATTTTTCATAATCTTTTTGAAAAAAACAAATTTGGTTCTATTCCTTCTTTCTTTACTTGATAGATTTTAAAGAGCCTTCATCCGCAACATAAATAGAGCAATCTTAACCTGCATCATAAAGTATCATAATTCATTCAACCTGTCTCTTTAATAATAGCCTTCAGTTTCCAAAAGCTTGACATTCCTTCAAATGGTGCCTTACTTATTTCTGCATGTATATCATATGTGTGATTAAACATCTGTAGGATAAATTCCCAGGAGTGGAGCAAAAGGGGGTTGTGGGCATTTTAATAATAAAAATTATCATAAATTGTTCTTAGTAGAAGCTGTCACTAATTTCCCCTCTTACAAACCAGGATCATAGAGAGTGTTGTTCTACTCACGATCATCAACTAACTGAATCTCTGCCAGTTCTAGGGGAAAATGAGTATTTTATATGCAGTTTTAATTTGAGTTACTCTTATTAAGGGATGAATTTGAGAATTATTCTATGAGCTTAACAGACATTTGTATTTCCTTTTCTGTGAATTTTGCCCATTTTTCTATGGAGGTTTTAGTCTTTGTCATAACTTTATAAGGGGTGTATTTACATGAGGGGAATTAGCTCTTTATCTCATTTCAATGTGCAAATACTTTCCTCTTTTGTCCATTTTTTTTGTCACTTCTGCCACATGGGAATTTGATAATAATAATGCCACTCTTTTCTTTTATAGCTTCTGACTTTTTGTCAGACTTTAAAAAGGCTGGTCCCACCCTGAGAGTATTAAAATAATCCTCCCAGTATTTTTTCAAATACTCTTTAAGATTTACTTTATTTAATGTTTGCTTAAAAAAAAATCCAAACAGATTTTATTTGAGTTACAGTGCAAAGCTGATAAGTAACACACTGTTGAATATTTTTGTACTTTGAGGGATTTTCTAGGTCATGGCCACATCGTCCACTGTACTTACACAGCCTCTGCAGAGTCACACTCAAAAACACTGACTGCATTAATGACTAACATAATAATAAGGAGAAACTATGTAACATAAATAACTTCTGGGTGCATAAATATATAAGATCTTATCCCAGCTACTTTAAAACTTTCTTTTTAAACACATATACACAGAACATAAAATTCACAGTCTCAACCATTTTTAAGTATACAGTTCAGCAATGTCAATTATCTTTACATTTCAACTGTATTTACATTTCTGTGCAACCAAGCTCCAGAACTTTTTTCATCCTGCTAAACTGAAACTCTATACCCATTAAACAACTCCCCATTCTCTCCTTCCCCAGCCCGATAATCACCAGTCTGCTTTTTGTCATATGAATCTGACTATTCTAGATTCTTCATATAAATGGAATCATACTTCTTTGTCTTTTTGTGACCGGCTAACTTCACCTGCAGCACATGTCAGAATCTCCCCCAAGCTTCCATGTTATGTATCTACCACATTTGGTTTATCCACTCATTTGTCAACGAGCAGCTGGGTTGCTTCAAAACTTCTTAAGCCTGTATCAACCTAGCTTAGTATAAAGCCTGAATTTTCTGCACATTAATGTCACTGTAATTATATATTGACACGGCACTGGGAGTGGGGGTGGGGGTATTCTCTATTATAATTGTTTATTCTTGTACAAAGATAACCTATAAACAGGTTTGAGCAGGGCTGACACATGATTAGATCTGTGTTGTAAGATCTACAAAGGAGAACTAGCCTGGCTTGGGGACAGAACATGTCTTATCCCATGACTGCAGGGGCTGGGCATGTGACGTGTCCATCAGACCAGGTGTGATAATAGGGAAGGGAAGGGCCTGCGGAAGTTGAGGTTAGGTCTCCTGTTTTCTAAATGTGTTTCAATTTAAAAAATAAACTCTAGTCAAAGGAACATTCTTCTGGGTAATTTACAATCAGCCAGTTGGCTACTGCCACCTACTTCCTCAGTGTATAACCACACTATATAGAAAATCTGTTTCCTTTCCTTTTGTCACCAATTAGTTATTTTAAGGTTGTTAAGNACTTTTTAACTAAAGCTAGACTCATGTAGGTTTCCATCACTAATAACCATTATTATCTTAATAGTCACTAAGATACATTACAGTCAATAGTGTCAAGTTACATTCTTTAAATCAGATTATTAATCACATTGGAAAAAATAGTTCTTTCTCCACATCAAAAATTTCCCGTGGGTGACTTAGCAGCATGGATGTTATCAAGGTCTTTGTTCTTCATTCAACCCAGTATCGTCAGTTATACGAATATATGATCAATCATTTGGATTTTTAAAAAATGTTTCTCAACAAGCAGTGGAAGACTGAAAAAATTCTCTTACAAAGTGGCTCTACAATGAATAAGTTTAAAGTCACAATCTTTGGTGTGATGTCAAGCTCCTTAAATTTCTAAATTAAAAGAGTAATTACTAAATCAATGTTCTAATGTGAAAGGTTGTATGATCTGCTTTTACTGATCTAAATGAAAAAAAATTAAATATTAAGATTACCAACATTGCTAAGATATAAATGACTGCTTTTACAGCTCCTAAATAAAGGATTGCTTTAGGGGATTGTGACGATGAAGATCAATTTGTACTTTTGGTCATTAATCACCGTTTCCTAATTGGGTTTAATTTGACTACTGCTCATTAGAGTTATAAACCAACACACTCATTTAATTGTGATTATAATTAAATAGCTGAACTTTTATGGTACAATGAACAAATTAATAGCTAAAGATAATTTTGCTCTTAAAAAGATCACATAAGACTTATGTTTTAATGAACTGTATACATGGAATGTATTTTATGATGATTCCTTCAAAAAGGCTCAAGGATTTTCCTTTCTCTTAATAATTAAAAAGAAATGTTCAGATTTCACAAGGTTTTACAAATACCTTCCAGGAAAAGATTCCCACACCCAGTTCCCTGATGCCAGACCAGAATCTGTGACTGAAAATAATATTACAGCCTGAATTTTATCCCACTCCATGGCTGAATTTCCTTTTTTTCTGAATATGAAATAACCAGGTTGATTGTGCATACTAGTTTGAAAAGCAATATATGACCTTTAAGAACTTATATTGAATTTCCTTCTCTTTTATTTCTTAGAGTTAATTATTAGCCACTCAAAGAAGCATGAATTTTGACTGACAGTTCTAAACTGGAGACTACTACTAGGTCACTCGGATGAAACCAAATTAATAGTTTAAGAGGAAAAAAAGCAGAAAAGAAGGCAGGTCACTATAAGTCAGTCTGCCATATCATAATCAACATATACTCTATACTGAGAGACATGGGTTCAAATCCCAGCTCTGGTAACCAGATGCTCATGGGGGAGTCACATTAATTTTTCAATCCTCTATAAAATGGGGATAACAACTTCAAACTTTGCAGGGCTGCTGTAAGTTATAAAAAAGGATATATGTAAAAGTTTAACATAGGGGCTGGCATAAGAGTTTAAAAAAAGCGTTTTCTTCCCCTTCCCTTCCTCTCTACATGAAGTACTGACGATATCACAACCAAATGAAAATTTTAAAATATCTGTGAATAAGGTACTTTGTTTATAAATGACCTATCACAGAATTTTATCTAGTGGTCCCTTGTGTAAACCATGAAATATATTATTTTCAATGTCTTGCTAAACATGAACACTTAGCCTATCCTAACTTGAAAAGTTTAAAACAACAACAAAAAGGAAAAACTGGACAAAAAGGTGAAAGCCATACCTTTCTTGGACTACTGCTGTGCTACCTGAGAAGAGGAGTTACATTCTCTGAATGTAGGGGACTGGCCTATTTTGTGTCTGACACTGGATTCTTACACAAACACCAGTCACCTCATTTTGGCAACCACTCTACAAGATAGTTATCATTTTTACCACCTTTTTGGATTAAAAAAAAAAAAAATGAGGCTTAGCCCAGGTCTGTGGCCAGAACACAGCAGATCCAGAATTTGAACCCAGGTCCCTCTGTAAAACACCAAATCGTCCACGTTGGTCTACAACTTGGTTGTGTTTACACATAACGGATCACCTCATTTACCAAACCACTGGCAAATCCCTCTTTACTGACTGCCCAAAGTATTCTAGGCAGCATGCAAGATACTGGGGTGAAATGTACTAACAAAGACACAGCTCATGGAACTCACTTTCTGGTACTACTACCTTATGCACCGCTCCCCCTAACACATGCACATACACTAGCCTTTGCTACGGAATTAATAAGAACTCACTGAATACTCGGCTATGCAAGACCAAGTGTAGTGTTGGTGGGCGCTGAGATATAAACAGTTGTTTACATTCTACAAGTACCAGATGGTTGAGAAACACCTTCCCCACAGAAATGCCTCCTTCTCCCTTCGAAGCAGAAGCTGGTCATCAAGGATGGTGAAAGCGCTGGACAGTGAGGCACTAATGGCTTCACCATGATGATGTAAATCCAGCAGGCGGCGGGCACAAGGGGAATTCATGCAGATTTAGGTGAACTAGGCGCTTTCAGTGGCTCCAGTTCCACAGAAGCAGGGCAGAGCTCCTGACTCCACCCAAAGCTTTACCATAGTGATCGGCCTCAAAAAATAACAAGGTGCTAGTGGATGGGTGTTTCTAAAGAACACAAGAAGGAGCTTCCTCTGAGGCTTGGCATGTGGCTACAAACAAACTCAAGTGCTGAAATGTTCGACTGCGTCATGGGAACACTTGAGACTATGGCAGAAATTAAATTACTGAAAGAAATTAACGCAAAGCTGCTGCTACAGTCTTTTGTACAATTTAATTTATAGTTTGCAAACACAATTCTATTCATTTGTTTTCTCTTATTTATCTGTTTTACCTTGTCCTTCTGGAGTTTCACCAAAGGGGTTCACTTCCACCTGAGTAGCATCAATTTTCAGGAAGAGATTATACAGCTTCTTAATTTGCTCTGCAGCCTAAATGTGATCAAATGAAATGAAATCACATCAAAGCAGCAAATGAACATTTATTTTGCTGGATTAATGAAACCTTAAAAATCACAAGTTATGCCTTTATTTTCAGTTAGGTGTTCTGAAGGGAAAAACAGAACAGCATAATTATTTTAATTTCCACTGCTATTCATTAGAAGGAATGGTGCAACTTTCCTCCAGACACCAGAAAAGACCATTACCAAGAAAACAAAATATTTTCAGTATATGGCTTAAAAATGCTGTTAATCTTTCTGCAAATTATCATGTCCCTGTTAGCCGAGCTATGCCACGATATGTGAGCTACAGTCATTAATACAAACAAGCTTCATTTAAGAAAAGGTAAATACGATTTTGAGAGTTTATAATGTCTAGGTTTTCCTCATTAGGCTGGAATAAAACAGTTATTATATTTATCAATCCAAACATATAATCTGTGAAACAACAATTACTGACTGTCTAATGGAAATTGTTGCAAGAGAGGAAGATGAAAGTCCTAAACAGTACAGTTACTGAACAGCACAGTTCAAACTGAAAACAGTTTGTCCCAAAGGCTTAAACCACAAAGAACAAGAATATCCAGTTTCCCTGACGTTATGTCCGACTTCATTTTTCTCATTCTGCTTGAGTTCGCTCACTCATTCATTCTTTCCAACCAAGATTTATTAACTGCCTATGTCACAGCGTGCTGGCATTGTGTGAACTGGGGCCAGGGGAAGACACCATAACTGAGGCATGACACCACCCTGGAAAGCTTATACCTTCAGACCACAACTTGTGACGCAACACAGCAAAGCTGTGCAATCATGGCTGAATGTAAGCTATCAGTGGCATTCTTGACTCCATATTCCTAGCCATGGTTATCCCTTTGCCACCTTTTTGCTCATTGTTCCAGCCCTGTATAACTTGCCCTCAGAACCATATCTTGCTTTTTCCCATGTCTACTCTATATATGGGGGAGTTGACACTTTTAGGCTGAGTTTCCCAATGCTCTTGGGCCAGCTGGCTTCCAGCTCAGTTCAGCCAGTGGGAGACAGGAGGTGGGAGGAAGGAAAAAGCTGGGGCGTTTCTTTCCCCCTCTTTCTGCCTTGGGCAACGTCTCCTCCTCTGACTTGCGGTTCCACCAGAGAGGCCCACCTTGGCTCTAGCTTCTGTGTTGCAATGTCCAGTAACATCACTGCCTCACCGTGTTCTCTAGCATGCAGGTAGCAACAATTTCCTGTTGTTTAGCTCTGAGTATCCTCTCTGTCCACTCCAAAATGTCTCAGTTCTTACAACATCTATATATCTATGTAACCAATTCCTTAGAAT